ATAAGAAATGATTAAAGTAGAATATTTTGTTTTATAATAACAACTCTCTCATACTTTTTATTTTACCTTAAAAACTTTATACAACTCAAATTTAAAATTTTTTATTTTATTTTAAAAAATATTATCACTAGATTACTTAAATAATTTACTTATCCTGTGTTACTTCTCTTTAGAATTAGTAGTCATACAGGAGTATATTTTGACTTTCCACGTTATTTTAAATAATATTTTTATTTGTATATAACATACACACATAATAATTAAAATATGTTTTTTTAATCAAGTAAGATTAGTTAACAAAAATGTTAAAGAATAAAAATTTAATTTTTAGATAGCATGTGAACTGCATACATGAACTACCTGTTCATTATACTTTTGTATGGCATACAAACTATGTATATAGACTCTTCCTTCATACTTTATAGAAAATACATTGTTTAAAATTGATGCGATAAAAACTTGTTATTTGCAAGACATAAGTCTAAATTTTAAAGTTAAACCTCTCAATCTCAAAATGTTTAACCATTAGAATTAAGGTTTTGTTGGCAAAATAGCGTTCATTTAATTTTTATTTAAAATTAATAATATTGTAATTATAATATTATATAAAATTATTAAGTTAATTTACATCAAGTTGGGGACTGCATTTAAAAAAAAAAAAAAAGACCGCAAGGAGTATTATCAATTAAAAAATTTGTTCAATATAATTGTGGTATTCTATTTTAACTTTCATGAATTTTATAACTATTAAAAACTAAAACTAAAGCTAAAAGACAATAATTTATTTTAAAAAGTTTCAACACGAATAAATATACTATAAATTTAACTAGTAATAATAAAACTATTTTTATTTCTATTTATTTACTATAATCATAATAATATTTTGTCAAATAAACAGGCTTTTATTTAGAGCTGTAAAATTTATAAAAATAAAAGTTAAAAATTAAAAATCATGGTCATACCAAATAAAGTTTTATACTTTAAAATTGAAAAAATCAAAATTAATTTGGAAAATTCAACACTTTGTTGTAGATAACAATAAGGGAAGTCAAACTTTTTCATTTAGACTTTTGAGGATATAAAATTCTAATAGGATTTTTTTAAAAAAATTTATTGTCACCTGTTGCAGATTAATTTTTAGGCATTTTGATACTAATCTCTGGTTAGGAGATCTCAATAGTGCACGACCATATTGGTCTAATGCATTAAAAAAAATTAATTTTTTTG